GTTATGTGGCACATGACTTTTTTTTTTTTTTTTTTTTGAGGTGAAGTCTCCCTCACTTTGTTGCCCAGGCTGGAGTGCAGTGCCAAGATCTCTGCTCACAGCAACCTCTGCCTCCCAGGTTCAGACAAGTCTCCGGCCTCAGCCTCCTGAGGAGCTGGGATTTCAGGCATGCGCCACCACGCCTGGCTAATTTTTTTGTATTTTTAGTAGAGACTCGGTTCCACCATGTTGGCCAGGCTGGTCTTGAACTCTTCACCTCAAGTGATGCATCCACCTCGGCCTCCCAAAGTGTTGGGATCAAAGGCGTGAGCCACCATGCCCGGCCTATGACTGTATTATTAAAAATTGACTTCACCCGTTTCTTTTGTACTTTTTTTCAATGTGGCTGCTTGAAAATGTAAAATTACCATGTGCAACACACATTATATTTCTATCAGACAGTACTAGTCTAAACAATTCTAGACAAAAGGTCAGCCATCTCCAGGAATGGAAATCTTAGAATCCCATTCAATGGTCACATCCATTTCCTTCAATTCGACAAATGTTGACCGCCAAGAGTACCATGCTTGTTGAGCTGGTGAGAGGTTATCATACAGGAGGCCCTGCAGTAAGAACTGGGCAGGAGGAAGACAGGAAGTGGAGTCTATGGAAGACCAGAGAAAGTGTCGCACGGGAGGTAAAAATTAAGTACTCCGGGGATTAAAGGAAAGGCGATAGCGTATCAGGTTGTTGGCAAGGAGGAAGTGAATGAGGAAAGGGCACTGAGAGAAGGTAGCCAGTGACATGGGCAATAAGAATGGTAAGGATTTTGGCCAAGAGAGAAGGGGACTGAACGCTGTGGGAAGAACACTAGACTCAGCAGACCCAGCGTCCTCAGGTGCCTCTTCCCCTGTCCCAGTCCTCCACGGCACCACCCTTGGCCTGTTCTTCTCACACCACAGAGCTCCCTGGCAGGCACCATCTGTACTCACGGCTTCCATGCCCACATCTACACTGATGACTCTCACATCTCTAGTCCTGGCCCATCCCTGCCTCTCGACCCCTGGTTCCAAATAGTCAATGTCCACTCACATTTGTTTGTGGATATTTCTCGGATACTTCAAAATCCACTAACTACCCAGCCAAACTCATCCTTCCCATCCCTCCCACAGCTCTGGTCCTCACTGTCCTTCCCTTGAGGGAGCGGCAGGACCACAACTCAGCTGTCCTAATCCCTACCCTGTGCTCCAGCCCTACATATGACCAGCCCCAAAGTCCTGTGGCATTTTCCCTCCTTAATATTTATCTCACCCAGCCACTCCGTACACACCCCTGCTGGGTCTAGGCTGTCACCGCGCTTCGCCTGGGTGACACAACATCCTCACCGTTCTTGCTGCTTCTCGCGTGATCCCTTGATCACGCTGTGATCATGGCTGTCAAGGTGACCAGACTACAACAGAAAACTGCTCCTTTAACACCTCTTTGCAATTTCCAGGGTGAAGTCCAAATTCCTGAACTTAACACATACAGCAGAACTTCATAATCTGGGCCTCACTCCGATACCCAGCTCCACATCTGCCTCTCCCCACATGCAAATACTTTTGCACATTCTGTTCCCTTTGCCTGGGACACTCTTCCTACTTTTTTTTTTTTTTTTTTTTTTTGAGATGGAGTTTCATTCTTGTTGCCCAGGCTAGAGTGCAATGGGGTGATCTCGGCTCACTGCAACCTCCGCCTTCTGGGTTCAAGTGATTCTCCTGCCTCAGCCTCCCGAATAGCTGGGATTACAGGCACGCGCCACCATGCTCAGCTCATTTTGTATTTCTATTAGAGATGGGGTTTCTCCATGTTGGCCAGGTTGGTCTTGAACTCCCGACCTCAGGCGATCTGCCCACCTTGGCCTCCCAAAGTGCTGGGATTACAGGCGTGAGCCACCACGCCCGGCCACCCTTCCTACTTTCTTAGAAAAAAAAAATTTTTTTTTTGGTGCTAAAATGGACATAACATTAAAAATTTCCCATTTTAACCCCATTTTCTTTGTTTACTTCCTTCCTACTCCTTGTCCTTCGAATTTAGCTGAAGTGACCTCTTTTGAAAAACCCTTCCTGAGTCCTCAGCCTGGGTCAGGTGCCCTTCTCCTTTGCTACTGATCTTATAGTCCTTATCATTTGTCCTGTGTTAGCTTATGTTTTTACTGACAGTCTCCCTAAGACAGCGTCTGTGTCTTACTTTGTACGCCTGGGGCTGCAGTGTACAGTTGTTTAGGTTATGCACTGCAAAAGGATGTCTGGCTCAGGAAATGAGTGTGGGATGAAGGCCATTAGTCAACTGTGCACCTGGTCCGGGCTGCATCCAGACCTTTTTCTAACTTGCACGAGGGTGCCTGTGTGACAACAGTGGGCCCTGTGTATCCCCCGTGCTAGTTACAGAGTTGGCGAACACAGTATTACAATAGGTGCTCATTAAGTGTTGAGTAAAGACAGATGGATGTTCCAGGCAAAGGTACCAGGGGTACAGATGGGTGGAAAGCTGGTGTAATAGGGTGGTACTGGATAATCGGTATTGACTTGGGGGGTTGCAGCTAGTTTGTGGAGGTCCCTCATGTTGGGCTGAGGGACTAACTCTTTAATTCAGGAGGCAGTGAGGAACTTTGTGAATTTTTGGTAGGACTGTGATATAGAATTTCAAAATATTCAGGCTTGAAAATGAGACTCAGAGAAGTGAAGTGACTTGTTCAAGGACACATAGTAAGTTAGAGGCCGGCCCAGACTTGAACTTGCCTTTCTTTCTTTTTTTTTTGTTTGAGACAGAGTCTCGCTCTGTCACCAGGCTGGAGTGCAGTGGTGCGATCTTGGCTCACTGCAACCTTCCCCTCCCTGTTTCAAGTGATTCTCCTGCCTCAGCCTCCCGAGTAGCTGGGACTACAGGTGTGCACCACCACGCCCAACTAATTTTTGTATTTTTATAGAGACAAGTTTTCACCATGTTGCCAGGACGGTCTCCATCTTATGACCTTGTGATCTACCTGCCTCAGCCTCTCAAAGTGCCGGGATTATAGGCCTGAGCCACCGCACGCAGTGAACTGGCTTCTTGCTCCTAGCTCAGTACAGGTCTGGAAAGCTGCACTCTGGGATACCTCTCAGAACTGAGGCTGAGCCCTCTAAGGCTCAAAGCCAAATCTGTGGTTACATCAGGACACCACACAGTCCCAGTAAATAAACTCCCAGGCACATTCTCAGGTCACAGATAAGACGGATTGCAGGGTAGTGACTGGTAGACTCCCACGGCCGGTGGGTGGGCAGCCACCACTCTCAGGCTGAGTCTTCCCTAACCAGCTGCAGCCTCCCACAGGATGGACCCGTGATCCCAACAACCCAAGGAGAACAAAGCTTGCCCCCGAGGCCCAGCTGCATGGCAGGTAACTCCTCCACAGCCATGCCTACACCTTTCCACTCCATCACAAGAGGCTCTATAATTGATCTGACATAATTAGCTCTTTACTAAGTCATCATAATTTCCAGTATGCAGTGACAAACCCATTGATGGATGATTTTACTCCACAGCTTGCCTAGGTACAAACTTAAGTGCAATTAACTGTCATTAATGAATGGAACACTTTTTTTCTTTAAATACGTAAATTAGATGGACTCCACATTTATCCCTTCTCTGCCTTCTCGAGGCTTGAAAGATAAGCATAGAGGTGCTGTCAGAAGCCAGTTCCTTAAGTGCTCCAGGCTTGGTGCCGACAGCACTTGAAGATACTCATCTTTGTTAAGTTTGGTTTCCTATCTGTCTGTTCCACAGGCAACCTTTTCTGACTTTTTAGAAAGGGTTGAGATAACAAAATGAATTAAAAGCTTCAGATTTTTTTTTTTTTTTTTGAATTGAAGTCTCACTTTGTCACCCAGGTTGGAGTGCAGTGACATGATCTCGGCTCACTGCAACCTCTGCCTCCTGAGTTGAAGCAACTCTCCCGCCTCAGCCTCCTGAGTAGCTGAAATTACAGATGTGCACCACTATGCCTGGCTAATTTTGTATTTTTAGTAGAGATGGGGTTTTGCCATGTTGGTCAGGCTGGTCTTGAACTCCTGACCGCAAGTGATCTGCCCGCCCCGGCCTCCCAAAGTGCTGGGATTACAGGTGTGAGTTGCTGTGCCTGGCAAAAAGCCTCTGATTTTTCAGCCACCTGTAAGCAGCTGTTGCCCACTCCATCAAAGGGGTGACCTTCTACTTGGTTTTTCTCTCTTTCTCCCGTGGTCAGCTCCCAATCACTTGCCTCTGCGGGTGGCTATTCCACTATTCCATGGGACCTGGGACCCAGTGCTGGGGGTAGGGCCGTGGCCTTGCTCCATGCAAGGCCAACTGTCAGTGCTTTTGATTTTACACCAAAGCTTCTCTTAACTGGGGTGGAAAATTGAGAGGTGACTGTGGAACTGAGAAATATTTCCCTGTTACCCTTTTCTTAGATACAACTTGGCTCAACTCTCAAGAGAATAAAAAAGTCTCCTGTAAGGCATAGGGTATTCCTTTTTTTTTTAGCTGGGGTTTCACTGTTGCCCAGGCTAGAGTGCAGTAGTACGATCTTGGCTCATTGCAACCTCTGCCTCCCAGGTTCAAGCAATTCTCTTGCCTCAGCCTCCTGAGTAGCTGGGATTACAGGTGTGTACCACCATGCCTGGCTAATTTTTGTATTTTTAGTAGAGGCTGGTTTTCACCATGTTGGTGAGGCTGGTCTCAAACTCCCAACCTCAGGTGATCCACCTGCCTTAGCCTCCCAAAGTGCTGGGATTACAGGCGTGAGCCACCATGCCCAGCCCATAGGGTACTTTAAAGGTCTCACATGTTCTCCAATATTTAAGTTTATCTCTCCATCATTTTGGGTTTTGGTCCTTTCATTCCTTAGTTCCCCAAATTCCTATATGTGACACCCAGGAACAAAGCCAGAGGGTAAACACTTTCCTGTGATGACAGGAACAGCATGGGGGACAGACAGTAGCTAGCTGCCAGCATCCAACACTCACCATGGTTTATCCCTTGATCCTTTTGCAGGAAAGACTGTGTGCTGTTTGCTGCTGGAGGTAAGTAGATTGTCTTTGGGCGTTTTGAATGGCTTTGAGGTGCTGCTGGCAGAGTGATGGCCGCTGAGACAGGCTTTTGTTTTCACCTGTACTAGTGATGTCCTGGGGTTGGAGGCTGGAGACGCTGGAGAGGGAGAAGGTCTACACATTGAACCGTGTCTTCTCTCTACAGGGGCAGAAAGTAGAGAACTCAGCACAGCATCCGTAGCAGGTGAGGCCCTCACACACTCACATCCACTCACACACACAACAGGCAAAGAGAAGCGCTTTTCTTGCAGCATCGGCATCCCTGAAGCCTAGGTTCTGATGATGATTTGTCTTGACATATGCTCCTATTCCGCCAGCTAGCAATAATTATGTTCTGGGTTTCTGTATCAAATGGCATGCTAAACTAACATCAAGGTTCTCGTGGGAGGCATTTACCAGGCCATCCTTCTGCAAAACCACTTCCACAGGAGTAGAAGACAGACACCAGGTGTCACCTGAACACAGGGATAACCACATATAGCCAAAGCAATTCTTAGACAGCTACACAGAGGCCACAGGTCCCTCAGGGCAGTGGACAGGGCGGGACTCTTAACAAATAGGAAACTCTCGAACCTGACACTCTGCAGGAGCACTAAAATTAGAGGGGCCAGCCAGCTTGAATCGAAGGGCCTTTGAGAGCGAGGAAGTGGCCCAGCAGCTGTTCCTTCCTGGGACTGAGAAGGCAGTATTAACACACCCCTGCTAAGGCCTCCTTAGGGTCCACAGAGGTTCGGGGCCTCCTGTAGGAGGATGTCAACGCTTGAGACAGAATCTGCAATGTGGGGCATGGACTTGGGCCAGCGAGCACAACTTCCTGAGGTTCTACAGAACATGCCAGAGCTCTGGCTGGGCAAGGTGGCTCACGCCTGTAACTCAGCACTTTGGGAAGCTGAGGTAGGTGGATCACCTGATGTTAGGAGGTTGATACCAGGCTGACCAACATGGAGAAACCCCGTCTCTACTAAAAATACAAAAAATTAGCCAGGTGTGGTGGTGCATGCCTGTAATCCCAGCTACTTGGGAGGCTGAGGCAGAAGAATCGCTTTAACCCAGAAGGCGGAAGTTGCAGTGAGCCGAGATTGCACCATTGCACTCCAGGCCGGGCAACACAAGTGAAATTCTGCCTCAAAAAAAAACAAAAACAAAAACAAAACAAAAACAAACCAGTGCTCTGGGCAGAGATGCCTCCCTTGTTCACGTTCTGTTAGCCCCTGTGCTTTTGACTGAATGGGCAGGATGAGGACACGAACCAGGACAGCAGATGCATGAAGTAATGAAGTGAAGTTCTAGTGTGCACCCACTATGGTGTTTCTTTTCTTTTTTTCTTTTTTTTTTTTTTTTTTTGAGATTAAGTCTCACACTGCCTCCCGGGCTGGAGTGCAGTGGCATGATCTCGGCTCACAGCAACCTCTGCTTCCCAGGTTCAAGCAATTCTCCTGCCTCAGCACCCCCGGTACCGGAGATTACAGGCACCTGCCACCACACCAAGCTAATTTTTTTTGTATTTTTAGTAGAGACGGGGTTTCACTATGTTGGCCAGGCCGGTCTCAAACTCCTGACCTTGTGATTGGCCCGCCTCAGCCTCCCAAAGTGCTGGGATTACAAGCATGAGCCACCACGCCTGGCCTATGGTGGTTCTTAATTGTTTTAGGGTAACAGATCTGATAAAAATTTAAGATTCCAGCAAAAGGCTCTTTTACACCTGCCCGGAAACTTTGTACATGATTACAGGAAGGAATCCCAAACCCTAAAAAAGACAAAGCTTCCTTAAAGCCTAAGTCCTCTCTGGCTCCCTTATGCCCCATATATAATTAGTGCTTAATTAACCTGTGTTGAATAAATAAATGAAATTATAACAGATATGCTGGAGATCATAGATCTGAAAAGCTGGCTGAATTTGATAATGCCAAATGTGACAGGCAAAGATGGCAGATCACTCTCTCCAGCCCAAAGCTAGCCGAGGCTTCTCTCGTTAGCACACCTTCCCTGGTTGCTTTTGCAGGCACCCTGATCTGGGGGATGCCAGCCTCCCATCCATGGCCAGCTGGGACAGGAGTCTGGGGTTTCTCTTTGCTCCCTTGTACCAATGGGTTGCCGGGCTGTCTCAAAGCAGGCTGCATTTAGTTTTCTGATGCAATAGGGATTAGGAGGAAGCAGATTTTTGAGGATCATCCAATTGTTGTTTTTTTTCGCTTGACCAGGGCTCATATGCTCCTACACAGAATAAATTTACAGGGTACTCTTCTTCATTGAATCAGAGTAGACCTTTGCATACATAATTAGTTCTCAGAAGCCATCCTGTTGAAGCTTTTGAGAACAAAGAGCTAGTTCTGGGGCCTCTGTTTTGAGGGCTGGGAGCCAGCAGACCTGGGCTCCCATGCCAACCACACATCCACAGATTTAGGCTCTTGGCCTTCAGTTCACCACTTAAACTTCCTTGGTTCCTGTGTCTTTATCTGTAGATGAAGTGGGTCCCTAGATGGCTTCAAGGCCTCCTTCCACTCAATCACCATAAATACAATGGATGCTTATACCTGCTCCTTCCCTTCTCATCCCTCATGATTCCTGGATGTCACAGCAATAATAGCAGCCGAAGTATTGAACAATTTTATTCAGGCAAGATCTTCCTTGGAGGAATTCACCCTTTGTAAAATCGTACTGGCCTTTACAGCCCCTGTGAGACAGGCAGGAAGCAGCCAGGCGTCTCCACCCTCCTCACGGCCGACTTGGCCAGAGGAGACCCACAGAGGCGAGGTGATTGCCAAGGTCAGGGCTACTCCAGGATCAGGGCGCCTCTGCTCTGGGTGCATGGGCCTAGCTCCCTCTCAGGAAGGCCGGAAACTAGCTGAATAAGAATCGAAGCCAGGAAATTAGAAAAGGCAGAACTTAGAATCACTAAAGGTCAGAACTGGATCTTAAAATCAACTAGTGTGATCTTTCTGATGGACGAGGTTATCAGTTGCCAGCCTTCGGGTTAAAGCCAGTTAGTGGCAATCCTGGGACTAGAACCAAGTCTCCTAACTTCAAGTCTGTAGACTTTCTGCATCTCAGAAATGTCTTGTTTAGCAATTTATTTTTTGGCAGAGGCTTCCAATATGAAAATAAGATTTTGATTTTTACCATTACTGCGTTAGATTTTTCTGCAGTCTTCATTCATTCCCTTGCTATCACTTACTCAAAGCTGGTGGTGGGCGGGTAGGGGATGCACAGAAATATTTCTTGGTTTAGGTGGGGAGATAAATCTGAATAATGAAGATACATTTTATTTCGCTAAACTAAGGGTTAAAAATTATGCAAGTAAACAAAGACAAATCACAAGGAAGCGTGCCATGAAGACCAAAATAAATGGGCCAGACCAGTGATTCTACAATCACCTAAAAGAATTCTGGTTAGTGGTCCTGGCATTCTGCTGCTAAATTTACAGAAAAAACTTTTTTTTTGAGACAGAGTCTCGCTCTGTCGCCCAGGCTATAGTGCTGTGGCACAATCATGGCTTACTGCAACCTTCAGCTTCCAGGTTCAAGTGATCCTTCTATGTCAGCCTTCTGAGTAGCTGGGACTACAGGTGTGTGCCACCACACACAGCTAATAAATATTATTATTTTCTGAGACAGAGTCTTGCTCCTGTGGCCCAGGCTGGAGTGCAGTGGCATGATCTCATCTCACTGCAACCTCCACCATGCAGGCTCAAGCGATTCTCTTGGGCATGGGAGAACCAAGGCTCAAGATTCTCAAGATCTCAGCCTCCCCAGTAGATAGGATTATAGGCATGCACCATCATGCCCAGCTAATTTTGGTATTTTTAGTAGAGATGGGGTTTCATCATGGTGGCCAGGCTAGTCTTGAACTCCTGGCCTCAAGTGATTTGCCTGTCTTGGCCTCCCAAAGCACTGGGGTTACAGGCATGAGCCACTGTGCCTGATCCCAGTTAATTATTAATTAAAACTTTTTTTTGGTAAGGCCAGGTGTGGTGGCTTGTGCCTATAATCCCGGCACTTTGGGTGGCCAAGGGTGGGAGGATCTCTTGAGCCTGGCAGGTAGAGGCTACAGCAAGTTGTGATTGTACTAGAGCACTCCAGCCTGGGCAACAGAGCAAGACCCTATCTCAAATTTTTTTTTTTTTTTTTTGAGACGGAGTTTTGCTCTTGTTACCCAGGCTGGAGTGCAATGGCGCGATCTTGGCTCACTGCAACCTCCACCTCCTGGGTTCAGGCAATTCTCCTGCCTCAGCCTCCTG